TTAATGTTATTAATAATAATTAACTAAAAGCAAAACATTAATGGCATTAATCATTTAAATTAATAACTAATTCACAATATTAAGATTTTAACACTAATATACACTAAACCATAACGTTAATGGCATTACTTCAGAATACTAAAATTATGAAAATCTAGTAATACATAATAAATAATTAACTAACATGTAAATGAAATGAAATTCAAATAATTCACATTTAAATCCATTTCAATCAACTAATATTTAAATTTAACTAATATTATCAATTCAAATCCTAAATTAACAGTATTACCTAATAATATTATCAATTCAAACTCATTTCAGTTAACTAATATTTACATTTAACTAATATTGTCACGGAACTAAAGTTCACTAATTTAACTTTGTTAATTTACATTTAAGTAATATTATTAAAATTTTATGAATTCACAATAATAATTCACACTAAACTAATGTTTCAATCCCAACTTAAATCACTATAAATCTTAAATTAGGAAATAAAAATAATTGCTAATAAACAAACCTAATAATTTTATAAATAATCCATTTTCAATTAACTAATACTTAAATTTAACTAAATTATGTTTATAGTTAAATATATTGTTAATAAATTAACAACCTCAGTAATTTAACAATTTTAATTATTTAAAATGAAAAAAATTAATACTTATTAAAAAAAATACATATTTCAAATGACATACCTTATCTGCATAAACAAGGAAAATGATAAACTGATAAATTACATCTTTCACTCTTTCAACATATAGTGTATTGTATTCTGAGTGAATTTTAACTCCTATCACTCGAATGGGAATGCACTGCATATATAAAACTATTTGTCACGGATAAATCTGTGACAAATACCTTTTCGTACACGTACAATTAATAACTTGACCGCTGGGACATCAATTATTAGGGTTTGTCACGGATTTTTCACGGATCCATCTGTGACAAATGTTTTTGAATTTTGTCACGGAATTGTCACGGATACGTCCATGACAAACTTTTTCGAATTTTGGGACTATCGGGGACATTTTCGACTATCGGGGACACTATCGGGGGGGCGTCGGGCGGTACCAGGACCGGTACTTTGGGACCCAAATCAGGGATAGGATGGCTACGGGACAGGAAAAATGGTGACCGGCCCGGCCAGTCAGAGACCTGTCTGGGCCCTTTTTTTTGCTTTGGGCTGCAACTAGGTGGGTGGGGTTGGGTGGTTTCGGGGGGTTTGGAGGGTGGGGGAGTAGTAATTAATTATAAAAGCCATTTTAAAAATATTGACCTGACCCGAGCCGGGCCGGTACCGGGCCTGCAGCCCAGGACCCCGGTCCCGTCTCGGGGCCCACCTAACCCGGGCCCGGTCCATCCCTACATGGAGTTGCTTGCTCAAGTACTTTTTTAGTTAAATTGTTGCAAAAGAAGTTTTATGGTATTATGTTTTTTGACGTGTAGTTAAGTGTATTACTTTTTCTCCCATAGGATGACGAAAATGCCTGTTGTACACAAGTTATACACATCATAGTACACAAATGACAATCACAGACAACTGATGTGCTGGCATATGGAGCTGTCTGTAAGCACAAATAAGAGTTGTCTGTGCACAGAAAACTCTTGTCTATGTCCACACACATTAATTTCCGTGTCAAAAAATACATTGACATCTGTCTAGCACTGACATTGATGTGTAAACCAATTTTTGTGTGCAGTGTCTATGTTCGCAAACAATAATTGTCTTTGCACATAAAACTATTGTGTGACAAATATGTGGATTTTTCAGATAATTTTATCACAAGGACAATAGTCGTATGGCTCACATGCAATAGTTGTCTGTGTGATCACTTTTAATTGTTTGTGTGATCATATATTGTATTACACAAACAATAGTTATGCTGTTTAGAGACAATATTTGTTTGTGTGATCTACTTTAGTTGTTTGTGTGATCAATATAATTGTCTATATGTATATGTCCAAATGAATTATGTAATTGTGTGTGCCATTCACTTTATAGGTAATTTGAAAAAAATTGAAAAGATATAAAAATAGATTGAAATAGATAAATGAGTTGATTTTGTGCTAAGTAATGGAAAAAATTTGGATATACAATATGATGGAGAAGAGAAGAGCATGATGAAGAAGAGAAAAAGATGATTCAATCTTCTTTTTTATTCAAAAACCTTGGAGAACCTTTTGGAAGAATTCTTGACATGTGTCAACATTCTTAATAGGAAAAGGTGACATGTGGCAACACCATAAAGGAAAAGGTATTCAACTTCCAAAACTCCACTTTTATGTATGCTAATATATTTTATATGTATAATGTGTATCATCCTCTATTACCATATGTTGTTTTAAATAACACATCTAATATGTTTGTTTGTTTGTTTATATTTATATATTTTTCATAATATTATGCACACAATTAGGTACAAATTTGCACTCGAGATAGTACAAATTGCAAATACTCAAAAATAAAAAATAGTTGACAAGTTTTAGTCTCTCTTAAAATTAGAAAAGTATTTCTCTCTAATACACACACACACACACACACACACACACACACACACATATATATATATATATATATATATATATATATATATAGAGAGAGAGAGAGAGAGAGAACTTATCCCGCCCGAACGTTCGGACAGGAGGCACCGTCTGAACACCACCGTTCGGGGCAGTTTTTGATGGAAGTTTTTGATGAAATTTTTATAGTATGTTCTTCATCAAGTTTAGTTTATCCATACCAAATTTCAGCTAAAATTTCGACCGGGAAATTCTTCAAATGATTTTTTGAAGTTGACTGCGCCAAATTATACATAGAAAAACGCAGTCAACTTCAAATTTCAGCTAAAAATTCGATCGGGAAATTCTTCAAATGATTTTTTGAAGGCCTTCCCGATCGAATTTTGAGCTGCAATTTGGTATGGATAAACTAGAGTTGATGAAGAACATACCATAAAAATTTCATCAAAAAATTTCACTGAGACCCGATCGGCAGTGTTCGGACGGCGCCTCAGGTCCGGACGTTCGGACCTGAACATTCTTGTGTGTGTGTAGTCTGATTCCAGTGGGAACACTTCCATTGGTGAGAAATAATAATAATCTGAAATGATGCACATTATATTTAATGGAGGTACACACTTATAGTTTAAACAACTCACAATTTCAAAGGGCATAAAAAGTTGAATATATTTATAAATATGTCATTACATTTTCTGGTTTGTGTAGTGCATTTTTCAATTTCATGTAATACATAATCAATTGAATTCTATTTTGAATTCGAATTGACGGGTACACATACTAGTTATATATAATGTGTACAAATTGTGTATAACCGAACATATAGTCATATATAACTCGAAAAGACTTCCGTTGAAGATTGCTCAAAGTGGTTTTTCAATACTCATTTATACCCCTCAATTGTCCAAATTGTTATAAATGTGGTTCTTTGAGCGGTAGAATGTACAATGTGGGCGAAGAGTATATTTCACCCCTCAAATGATCACATTTACAGCAATTTGGACAATTGAGATATGATATTTACAATCTCCGAAATACGAGTCTGATGTTTTAATATGGTGATTATTTCAGGAACTAAAAATGCAATGTTAATGTACATTCAATTAATGTTAATTATCAGGACTTGATTGCAATTACTTTTACTTCTTAAAATAATTTTAGATAAATTATTTGATAGTAAAAGTTTCGTACTATTTCCCCCGTCTCATATAATGATTTTCACTTTCCCTTTTGGAACATCTCATATAAAGTATGTTAATTCTATTTTAAAATATTATTAACACTCTTAAATGATAATTTAATCATCAAATATTAAAAGTAATAAATTTGTAACATCACCATTAACTCCATATCATATTACCTATTAAAGTTTAAAACTATTTCTTAAAATACACTAAAGCTACTTGTTTTAATTATTGTATAAGTAAGCATGCCGTTTTGTAATGAGAATATTTAAGCGAGACGAGTAACAATAGTGTTAAAGAAAAAAATCAAAAATTAAAAGTTGATCGATAGTATTTGTATATATTTACTTTTTTAAAAGCAGATTAAAGCACCTGCTTCACTGCTTGCTTCCAACTTAGAAATGCTTAATTTTAAATAGTCACGTGAAAAAATCAATTTCTGACTTTTTAAAGTATAAAACAGAAAAAGTTTTTTCTATATCTTTTGCAAACATTCCATTAGTTTGGTACGGCAAGTCTGCAACGCCAGCATTGAAAAAATAAAAAATACTCCGTAACTAAATAACTCAAGTACTCAACATTTGCAAGGGCAACCAGACGTAAAGTTATGACTTGAAATTTGAAAAGAAATCCACATTTACAAATTTTATGACCTGTAAACAAGTATTAATAGTATTAGCATTTGAATATGTACCTTAATTTTGAGTTATGTTTTAGGATGTTTTTAACTAAGAGTAAAATTTTCTAGTCATTTCCGATCTAGTATGAACTAGGGGTGGACTCAGGTCCGGACCGGGTCTGGGTCGGGCCTAGGCCCGAGCGGGCCGGCGGTTCAGAAATGGTGGACCTGGTACCGGCCCGGGTAGCCACCGGGTCCGGTCCAGGTCCCGGCCGAGCCTCCGGTTTGGGTTTTTTTTTTTTGCTTTCCTAACCCCCCCACCCTCCCAAACCCCCCCAACCCCCCCCCCCCCCCCCCAAACCCATCAAGCCCAACCCGGGTGGAACCCAAAAAATGAAAAAAAAATCAATTTGGTCCTACCCCCCGGGCCTAGGCCCAACCCGGACCCGAGAACCGGGCCGATCCCGGTCCCGCACAGTAGCAGGCCGGACCAGTCCACGTTCCGGGCCACCCGAGTCCAACACTAGTATGAACTGATTTGATAGATGTCTGATCTCTATGTATTTCATACGGAGTACATAATTAATATGCATATAGAATTTGATATGGAATTGCAAAGTTTTCCAGCAATATTGACTAATAATATAAACTATAAGTTAAATGTATTCCATATGAATTAATAAACAAAAAAATGTAGATTAAGTGGGAATTGAATACCAAATTAGAATTTGTGAATGAAATAAAGGAAACACGAGAAGTCCGTGTGTTATAAATCGTAATAATCTAAGCTATAATATACTCCGTATCACACAAGAATATCATCACTATATCGGCGAGCAATGTTAAGATTGTCTATGAATTGAAGTTGGAAAACTAAATGCAGCAGTGCCACTGAAGCCGGGGGCGATTTGTGACATTCAGTGTAAACTATTGTATGTATATAAACCCGCCATGCTTACAAATCCAAATTTCCAACTACTACTACCAATGTCTACCATAGGAAAGAAATCCAACACATTTCTCACCTGTTGTAAATTTGTAATGGTCACTAGGGATAGGAAAGTATACATATATTGCACAATGCTTAAAATGATATGAGGTGCAAACAATGTGTACAACTGAAACTGAATGGCCAAAAATTGCAGTTGGAAGCATTGACATACATACTTTTTAAAAGTTGAACAAAAATGAAAATGAGTTTGTATCGGACACTAACGAAGACTTTGCTGTAAGGCAGAAATGTTCATTTATATACGCTCTCCACGGACATTCCTTTGCCACTTTCCTCCTGTCTCAACTACAGGAGCAATGCAAGTGATTCACTGATTCCTGTCATGTTCCTTCCATCAAAATGCAGAACTCCGTGCTTGATCCCGAGTGCGTTGTCAAAAGATAGATGGATAAGAAGGAAAACTCCTCAAGTGACTCCCATATTTTACTTCTTTTACATAAAATCCAACCATCATTGGAAATCTGGAACCCAAACTGGATAAAACACCAAAATCTGTGACGACTGCCGATTGGAAGACTAGGAAAAGTGGCCAGAAAAAAATGGAAACTATGACAGAACTTAGCAACAAGTCATGCCCTTCAAACTCAACGGTTTCTAATATATTAAGGGGCATTAATTATCATCCAAAATTTGAGACCATAAAATGCTGATAATGAATATCTGCATTTATCCAGTGCATAGGAAAGACATACAAAAAGGCGATGATTTTACTTCTCACATCCCTCGGGTTCAATAGAGCATTAGATATGAATACATAGCATATGATGAAGTGCCCATTGGTAAAGATTATTTGAACGAAATGGCTGCTGTTGGGGCAAGAATGGGCCTTGATTAATTATTGTAATTAGTTCTAGTAATTATTTTGTATTTAATGGGCTGTGACCTATTAAACCTAGGGCAGGTTTTGCCTTGTATATAATAGGCTGTACGTAGCAATAGAAAGCAAGAAAATCAATTCCATATTTGACTCCTATTTGATCATGGTATCAGAGCCGTGCGAAGATCTTCGCTGAGGGCCATCACGCTCCTTCCAATCGCAGCAGCACCCGCGTGCCTAAACTCTGCGCATCATGGGGGACGAAACAGCTCCAAGGTTGGATCCAGCCTCACCTTTCTATTTGAGCTCTGGAGATCAGCCTGGTAACTTGATTACTCACGTAATTCTCAAAGGCGATAACTACCTGGCGTGGTCGAGGGCGTTTAGCTTATCATTGAAAGCCCGCCGGAAGTACGGGTTTGTGGACGGCAGCATCCGGAAACCTGTTGCAGCATCTAAACTGCTTGATTGGGACACGGTCAATTCGATGATAGTGTCTTGGATGCTACGAAGCATGGAGCCGACTGTTGCGGCTTCAATTCCCTTCCACGAGGAAGCTCGGTCACTATGGCAATACATGGAGAAGCGCTTCAGCGAAGCCAATGGGCCACGTCTACAGCAGCTGCGCGCCTCAATTACTGAATGTAAACAGACAAAATCAATGTCTGTTGATACCTATTTTACTGCTCTCATGGGGTTATATGATGAATTAAGTCGTCTGAAACCGCTGCATACGTGTACGTGCGGAAACTGCACGTGTGGCGTGGCAGACAAATACGCCGCTGATCGGAATGAGGAGCAACTGCATCAATTCTTGATTGGCATTGATGATGAACTTTATGCAACGGTCCGCTCCAATCTCTTGTCACAAACACCGCTGCCCGATATTACTAGAGCACATCAGGCATTTCTTCAAGAGGAACGCTCACGAGCAATCGCCCGGGGGAAAAATCACGCCGTCGATGTGCAAGCTTTTGCTCTGCAGACAGACCGCTCCAAAGGAAAAATTGACAAGGGGAGACTCTTGTGTTCACACTGCAAGCAAAAGGGTCACGACGTGAGCTCTTGTTTTAAACTATACGGGTACCCGGACTGGTGGGAGGAGCGCAATCGGAGTAAGAATAACGCAGGGGGACGAAGCCCGGCAGTTGGGAGCAGTCTGCCCACCGCTGCATCTCGTGGTCTTGGTGGGGAAGCACGTGCACATGCTGTGACCTCACTGGCTTCTTCACACGCAGCTGTACCGGAGTCCTCTATTGCCAATAATGATTACAACCCGCTACAAGAACTGAGTAGGGAACAGGTTCAGACACTCTTACACATGATTAGTGCTGAAACACGCTCCACTGATCGCATGTCTGGTAAGTGTGGTTCTCTTGACTGGATAATCGATACTGGTGCATCCCGTCATGTAACAGGTGATTTGAGTCGTCTCACCGATATTACAAGTATTCCTAATTGTGTGGTGGGACTACCCGATGGACGAACTGTTTTTGCTACGATGGAAGGCCGTGTGCACCTCTCCACCGAACTTATACTTAATCATGTTCTTTATGTTCCGAAATTAAACTGTCATCTCATTTCAGTTTCTCAATTAACTGATCACTCTACATGCATTGTTACTTTCACTAATTCTTTGTGTGCTATACAGGACCTACCCTCGAGGAACCTGATTGGAGCCGGTGAGAGACGGGATGGGCTGTTCTATTTCCGACGTGTGCCTGCAATGCATGCTGTGAGAGTATCTAGTTTGACGGACTTTGAGTTGTGGCATCGCCGGCTAGGACATCCATCAGACCGGGTTCTAAAATTATTACCTGCAGTTAGTTCTAGTGGTTTTAGAAAATCTCTTAATAAAGCTTGTGTGGTCTGTCCGCAAGCAAAACAAGTTCGTGATTCTTTTCCTGTCAGCGATAATAAAGCAAGTCACATTTTGGAATTAATTCATTGTGATTTATGGGGACCTTACAAAACCCCTTCCACTTGTGATGCCATTTATTTCTTAACTATTGTGGATGACTACTCTAGGGCCGTGTGGGTTTATCTACTGCGTGACAAGAAGGAAGTGTACAAATCTTTTCTCTCATTTTTTGCTATGATTGAAACGCAATTTGCAGCTGCTGTGAAAATCGTTCATAGTGACAATGGGACTGAATTTAAATGCATGCATCCTTATCTTACTGAGCATGGCATTTTATTTCAGAGTTCTTGTGTTGAGACACCTCAACAAAATGGACGTGTTGAACGTAAACACCGACATATCTTAAATGTTGCTCGTGCATTGATGTTTCAAGCTAATATTCCAATATACCTTTGGGGCGAATGTGTTTTATCTGCGGTCTATTTAATTAACCGCACTCCTTCCGGTGTGTTAGGTGGAAAAACCCCATATGAAGTTCTCATTGGACGTGTTCCCGATTTCAGTCATATAAGGGTGTTCGGGTGTTTGTGCTTTGCTCACAACAAGAAATCCAAGGGTGACAAATTTGCTCCACGTAGTGTACGGTGTGCCTTTGTTGGTTATCCACACGGGCAAAAAGGATGGAAAGTTTATGATATGGATACTGGGAATATATTTGTTTCACGAGATGTGAAGTTCCACGAGCAAGAATTTCCTTTTTCTCCTGAAACCGTTGCGGTGATACCTTCAGCCGAGGTGCATGGTGATGCTCCTCCTATTCTTGACGATGATGCTTCTGTCCCTGGTCACGAGGACACTTCTGCCATGGCTTCTCTTGATGCTTCTATACCACCGGTCCCAACTCCTCGGGAGAATAACGAGAGCCATATACCTCTTACTCAGGCTACTGATGCACTACTTGGTCGCGGGCAGAGGGCTAAACGCACATCCGTATTACTTCGTGACTTTGTTACACACGTTCGGACTGAGAGCCCATCCCCGCCTCTTTCTGTCTCCACAGGACACTCAGGTATGTCTTATCCTATAGCTCACTATGTGAATTGTGATAATTTTTCTTCTCGTCATCGGGCATTTCTTGGAGCCATTCTTGCAGGTCTTGAACCTAGATCTTTTAAGGAAGCCATGACTGACGAAGGATGGCGGAAAGCCATGCACAGTGAAATCCGTGCTCTTGAAAATAATGAAACCTGGGTCCTGGCACCTTTACCTCCCAACAAGAAGGCTCTTGGATGTAAATGGGTCTATAAAATTAAGTATCATTCCGATGGTACAGTTGAACGTCTCAAGGCACGGTTGGTGGTGTTTGGTAATCATCAGGAGGAGGGCATTGACTACACTGAGACATTTGCTCCCGTGGCTAAAATGGTTACGGTTAGGGCATTCTTGGCAGTTGCAGCAGTTAAAAACTGGGAACTCCATCAGATGGACGTTCACAATGCATTCCTTCACGGTGACTTGGATGAGGAAGTTTACATGAAGCCTCCTCCTGGTTTTTATCCTGCTCAACCCGGTATGGTCTGTCGGTTGAAGAAATCCTTGTATGGGTTACGACAGGCTCCTCGTTGTTGGTTTGCCAAGCTAACCGCTTCTCTACGTCACTATGGCTTTCGGCAATCTTATTCGGACTACTCTTTATTCACGTTTAGCCGTGGTGATACAATTTTAAACGTGCTCATTTATGTGGACGACCTGATTATTGCCGGAAATAATTCCGCGGCCTTGACTGCTTTTAAACAATACTTGAGCACATGTTTCCATATGAAGGATTTGGGCATTCTCAAATATTTTCTTGGGATCGAAGTGGCGCGCAGCTCGGAGGGTATTTTTCTGTGCCAACGCAAATATGCTTTGGATATTATCTCTGAGACTGGGCTACTAGGTGCCAAACCTGCCAGTTTTCCCATCGAGCAGAATCATGTGTTGGCTTTGGCTGACGGTCCGCTATTACCTGATCCCGAGTCCTATAGACGTCTTGTGGGCCGCCTAATTTATCTCTCTTTCACACGTCCCGACTTGGCCTACGTAGTGCATATCCTCTCTCAGTTTATGCAAGCTCCACGTCACCAACACTGGGATGCCGCACTGCGGGTTGTCCGTTACTTGAAGGGCAGCCCGGGTCAAGGAATTCTCTTGCATTCCACGTGTAATTTAACCTTGACAGGATGGTGTGATTCAGACTGGGCAAGCTGTCCACTTTCTCGACGCTCTCTCACTGGATGGTTAGTGTTTCTTGGTACCTCTCCTATTTCTTGGAAAACCAAGAAGCAACAAACTGTGTCCCGATCATCTGCCGAGGCAGAATATCGCTCCATGGCAGCCCTTACGGCGGAATTAAAATGGCTTAAAAGTCTTCTTCTAAGTCTTGGCGTAGCCCATCCTCAAGCTATGCCTTTATTCTGTGACAGTAAGTCGGCACTCCACATTGCTCACAACCCCGTATTTCATGAGCGTACGAAACACATAGAAGTCGATTGTCACTACGTCCGAGACGCCATCCAAGAGGGATTGATTACTACCCAACATGTCTCAACTACTAATCAACTGGCTGATATCTTTACTAAAGCTCTGGGAAAGCGACAATTTCTTTATCTTCTTCGCAAGTTGGGCATTTATAATCCGCATGCTCCAACTTGAGGGGGGTGTTGGGGCAAGAATGGGCCTTGATTAATTATTGTAATTAGTTCTAGTAATTATTTTGTATTTAATGGGCTGTGACCTATTAAACCTAGGGCAGGTTTTGCCTTGTATATAATAGGCTGTACGTAGCAATAGAAAGCAAGAAAATCAATTCCATATTTGACTCCTATTTGATCAGCGGCTGAACTTTCTGAAAATAAATAAGCATTTGGAAAAATAAACTTCAGCAAAAACAAAGTCAAAGGCTATTTATTTTACTTATTCTCATTATTAAGCCAATAGCAAAATAAGTTGGTTGATACTGCCAAACGGGGCTCAAACTAGGGCACACGGAAAACATACAGAAAAGTATAACAACCCTATGTCGTGATTTATCAGCACAAATTACTAACATGTTACTCATAGATTTTAAAAGGCACAAATTACAAACAAGTTACTCATCATCAATTTTGAAGAGTTGTGTAATCCTTACCTGCATTTTATGCACTGTGCTGAACTTGGCGGTGTAATTGAATAATCGAATCCATGTAGCCATTTGAACCACCCATCTGGTCCTCAACTAAATGCTTGAGTAGATAGAATCCTTCTCTGGGCTGTTCACCTTGCCTCACAAGGTGAGATATCTGGTAATATGACGGGTCACTTTGCCGATACTTGCTAAGCAAGCCAGTTAATTTCCTTGAAATTTCATTATCTTGCTCATGAATGCAAACCTGCGCATCGAGGGAGAATGAGTAGCGGAATAAATAAACAATTACTATGAATGTGCAAAAGGCCACATTTAAGAAAAATGTATTTAGCTTCATTACTAGTACTCTAGGGCAGGGAATAGGGGTATTACAATATTCATGGATTAGAGTATAAAAAATTCCATTCATACAAATTTTGCAATGAATTATCAAGTTACTTTTACAGCTGAGAATTTCATAAAAATGAAAATGGACTGACAGAGTTAAGAGTCAGGGCAAAAGAGAAGGAAAAGAAAACCATATAGATGTGGATAATAACCAAGTTCGTACTGCAACATCAAATGCAGATTTGTAATACAATTATACATCCTACAAATAGTATAGGAATATATTCAATTATAAGACTAAGTTATCCTAGTTTTACAAGAATTATTATTTGCATGTGTTTCAATGTTAAAAAGTATAAGCATGTACCGATTCTTTAAAAACTTTATAGCTAACTAAATTGGAGTATAAAGAAAATAAAACCACTTTTCATTAACTTTGTTTTATAAGCAACACATTATGATTATGGTATTTTGTTCTATATTGTGAATGTCTAACTAAATTGGAGTAAATTCACAATAAACGTCAGAAACAGTATCGCCGAATCTCTCTCCCATCTTCATACAGTTAAAAATACATTTCAACAGAATGGAGAATCCACTCCTAAAAAAGTAGGCTTATATGGAAAAATAGACTTTATAGTGGTACCTTTGACAAGTCTGCAGCGAAGTCATTACCAAGTAAAGCTTTGATGATATCAGGTGAGAGCATTCTACCAAACCATATAACAAACTGAAAGCCATCATCATAGATGTAGAGTCCACTGTCTTCTAAACTAGCTATGGTGAGTGGCAGCCTTCTCAACATGTTCCTGGAATCCTCGACAGAAGCTGATGTCTGCAAATCATGGATGGAAATATGATTCAGAATCTCAGAGATGGACACGAGAGTTAATTTCCAAGTGAGGAAGATATATCAGAGAAAGATATATGATCATATTGATAATCTTCCTTATGCGTGCGTGTGTGCCTAAGAGAGGGTGGGAGTAAGGAATAACCTGAGCCCTGATGTATGCCAACATGAACATCAATTGATTCTTGTTCTAAAATGTCCTAACAAAATGGTTTGTGCTTACAGGTGAACAAAATGTCCTAACATGAACTTTACATTCATGACATAAATCCAAACAAAATGAGTAAAACACAGATTTATCATATATCACCTTTTTGTCAAAGTTAAACCTTAACTTTGTTAATAACGTTTTCAAGCTGAAGCTTCTTTAAAATTCTTTTTAAATGTCTATCTAATTTTCTTTTGACCAGAGGCATTAGTGTCGAGACTGTATCGGACAAAGTTCTATTTGATATCCTTCAACTTAACCAGTAAAAAAGAAGCAAGGGATGGATACGATTGCAATTTGAAATAAAAGTCTTGGGGATATTTGGCTTCATCGGGCATAAAACTACCCCTGGAATGCCTATCAACATTATATGATATACAAAAGTATTTTCCTATCATGAACTTGGATAGATAAATAATTCTCCTAGAACTGGTACTGTGATAGTGGAAGTGCTATATGTATAAGTTGTAAGGAATATCTAACACCACCTTGGACTACATGAAAGTATGAAACATAGAAAGAAACGCTAGGGGCATGATATTAATGGACCTTGATGGGGGTAAAATTATTCCTAATGAAAAAACAGTTACTTACTTTCAGAAGATACTCATCTATACGAGTCAAAGTAGGATACAAAAGTTTTAACAACTTTTTAACAGGCATTGCCATCATTGTGAATGCCGCTGCACATCGCTCATCAAGTTGAACATCGGAATAACCACCCCGTAGTGGTGTTGACTTGGACAGAGCAAGCCCATACAAAGGCAACAATTTCAATGATTCTGGATATATCATTCTCCCCCCTAAGCGATGTTGAACAGCATACAGATTGCGATATTCTCTTAGGGCTTTAACGATTCTAAGGTGAACTGAACTCCTTGCTTCTTCCAGTTTAGAGGAAAGAGTCTTCTCAATAGCTGCACATAAATATCATATACCGAGAATATAAAAACAAAAAGAAAATATATAATAATGTCAATAATAATAAACAATGGCCATAGAGGGATATTAATTTCCAAACCTAGCCTACTGAACAAGGAAACAATAGCACCGGTATCAGCAAGACGATACATTTCTCCTAATTCTGCAACCACGGGTGCTGCAGCTGTGTGTACTCTGATTCGCCTTTCTCCAGATGATGATGTGTATCTTCGATTTATTAAGGATACCTCAACTGACTAATATCAAATAAATCATAAACCCATACATTTGTTTTTCCTATATACAGAAAATGACAGATGATGGAGCATACAAACAGGAATTATAGGATTAAAAGAACATCATCACTAGAGAACAAAAGAGGCTCATAATTTATCTCAAACCATCCACTGCTTGATACTTACCCCAAAAAATATAGAAAGGAAATATTTCAAAGCTCTGCAATTAGTTTGTATGCTTACAGTCTCTAGTTATTGAACCCATCTACTCCTTTCTCTTGCTATAGGGACCAAAGAAGGTGAAGGAGATTTGTTGCCCACAATTCCGTGTTCTCCACATTATAAAGGAGCCCTCATGGTTTTAACATCCAGTCGAAGGGACACTGATAGGACCCCGGCTACTATGACTAATAAGAATAGATATGGCTTAGTCTATTCTAGAAAGAAGTAGTTAAGTAGTTATTAAGCGGTTAGTTGTATGTTATAATAACTGCTTAAGGCTGTGGTGAGGGGGTCTATAAATAGAATAAACCAGCTAGGAGTTAGGCAGGTTGTTAGATGCTTGGCTTGGGACTGGGAAGTTAGAGTGCTATCTCTAGCTTTGGGACTATTGTACATTTGTACTGTATACCGCCATTAATGAAGTTTGGAGATTGTTTCTAGTTTGTTCTGTGTATTGTGGATTGCAAACTGTTCTTATCAGACACTGGCACAAATGATCAGCCTAGTAATTCTTAATTCCTACCTAGGGGCTAGGGAGACAATCTCACAAAGGCTTCAGATATTGGGACCGCAAATAAAATGTGATACATAAAGGAAGCAGAAAATCTATAGTTAGTCACATGCAAAGGCAGACATTTGTTATTTCTTTGAACTAAATGGGAAATTGGTATGTAGCTGTTTCATTTGGAAAGAAGTTTTTATAGGTTCTAGCATCCAATTTCAGGGGGGGGGGACTTATATGGTTACATGAAAGGAAGGATACAGCAGAGCGACTTGGAAATAAACTGTCTGGGTAGTTAGCAGTGTTTCTTCAAGAGATAGCTGCATTGCATAAGCCTTATCACAATCAACAGCTGGAAGCGCTACAAGATCAGTGGATCGCAGCATAAAATTACCATGATAGGTGGTAAACCGAATGCCTTCAACAACAATAGAAAGTATGCAGTTAGTCTTAAACTTTGCAGTTTTATTTCGAGGATGTTCACAATTGGATCTCAACCATACCTTTTCTTTAGTTTTCATTCCCAATATTTTTATATAAAAAAACATTTGGTTCAGAGACTTTTTTGGAGGAGATGCTAAACCTAGGATATTGTAAGTTTAGTTTGAATGGAATTAAAAGATAGAAATAGATGAACTAACCTTTTCCACATCGTATTCGCATGACAGACTCCCAGGCAGTCTCTCTTGTCAAATCTCTTGCCAACTCATAGCTCAACTTATCTTTATGAATGGAAGCATGGAAACTTGGATAATGATATACTTGACCACCAGTATACTTTGCCAAGGTCCCTATATACAAGTAAAAGATAACATCTTATAATTATAGCTTCATACAACCCACAATTAACAAATACCAAACAAAAAGAGGACAATACCTTGCATTATTGTCAATTGAACAAATATTGTTAAACTATTAAAGCAAGAATGTATTTAAAAATGATCTCCAGATGCTGTATACTTTAGGTAAAGCCTCGAACTATCAACTGAGTATGTCAAAACTAGATCTCTGAATAAATAATACTACGTAATATAATACAGATCTAATGGCAATTTTCCATGGGTGCAAATGTGAAATTAGTTGTTTTAGTCCTCGGTTGTTCATTTCTGTAAATAAAATCTTCTGTTTTGTCGAATTGTTGTGATTTTACTCCTTACACTCCTTTGACCCATGTCTTCTGTCTATTTCCATCAACAGTTTACTAATGTCTCCTGTCAATTTATGTTAGTATGTTAGAAGGGTCAAATAGACACTTCTACTATTTCCAATATATCATTTAAGTCCCTATACTAAAAAAAAGTATCATATAAGTACCATTACTTTAAAGACATAGTAAATCAAGTCATTTTAACCTGCTATAGCAGATTATTTTTTTGAAAATTGATAAATTTTACGAAAATTCATATGTTTAAAAAAATGTAATAATAATATGTAGTATAAAAATAGTATATTTCATAAATAGATAAATTATTTTTTAATGTTAAAATAAAAAAATAAAAATTCAGAAAAAATGAAAAAAATAAAGTAAGTGTAAAAAATAAATAAAAATGTAATAACCTTTAAAAATATGCAGGATATACAAATAATTCCAAAAATGAAAAAATATAGACTTTGATTCGTTAAAGTAAGCATACTTATGTGATACATTTTTTAGTATATGAGCTTAAGTGATGGATTGGAAATAGTAGAAGGATGTATTTGACCTTTTTCCCTACTGAATTTATATTAGTTGAGAGAACGATTGACAAAATAGACCTGTGAAATAGGAGAAGGATATAATGCATTAATGTATCAAGGTCTGTATAATAAGTCCCTATTTATAATACAAGGATGTACATGATAGCCAGGCCCGCTGCAGTTAGGATTTAAAGATCCCCTCTCAAGCTGGCACAAACAGGTTAAACATGTCAAGTGAGTTGAATATGTACTCCATTCTAGATTTCTATAAATGCCAAGTGACATAGTAGTTAGTGAAAATATAAGCTAATTAAAGTAATCAACAGAGTTAACAAACTATGTAGCAATACATCCAGAAACACCTCTTCTCTAAGAAGGTAGCTAAATGAACTAATCAACAAAGTTAACAAACTGTGTAGCAATGCATCCAAAAACGTCTTTTCGTTAGAATTCTCCATCCATTTCAGTACCTGACATTGCTCAACTGATGCAATTTATGACAATATAAATGCCAAAAACTTCATTTCTTTCAGGTAATTTATCAACCAACGTGCTTGGGTAGTGGAGAGAAATGGGATTTTGGGTGAATATATTCAATATTCTCATTTATTAAACTGTGTCAGCTGAGTCACGCTGAGAAACTGAAGTGAGAGTCTAATGAGCAAACAGAACTGAACTCCTGATGTGATCTAAAATTCAAACCCATTTTAGTAGTTCTGTCAGTACAGATTGATGAGATCATTACTATATATGTATTTGTGTGTGTCTATTAATTTTTCATACTTATATATGTGTGTCTGTGTGTGCAATGTAAGTGTAGAGCGTTGTATTCTATTTCCAGGAAGGGGTGGATCACACTCTTTCAAAAACTTATATACTGGATTCTATACCTAATCTCTGTCAAGTGTCACGTATAGAAATACGGTTATGTATAGTTACTATAGTACGACACTGTTGGAAAATTTGTGTGTATCTGCATGTATGTATATAGGAAATTGGAAGTGAGTAGATTACCTAATGTTGCTAAATCAGTATACTTGTCACTAAATGTATATACATTTACAGCAATTTGATACTTGGTGAAATCAGCAGCCATCTGCTTATAAAAAGGGTCTTCTGGTATTCTCAGCATATGTTCTTTGTCAGTTCCATACAGGCGAGGATCGTCTCCACGCAGCACCAAGCGGCCAATACCCAGTGATGGAAGCGTGTTCTGAAAGATCAACAGTTTACCACCAAGTTGGTTCTGGCAGTAGGAACACAAGTTTTAGTATTGAGTCATTTATAGATAAGTCAGTAAAAAAAGAAAGACTAAGGGTATGTTTCGTTGGAGAATTGCGGGGTTTGGAAGGGAGAAGGTTTTGAGGGCTTACTCGATATCTTAATAAATAGAATGACTCTAAAAGCGAACAAAAGTTGATTGAGATATACAATTACATACAATGTTGATCTTTCAAATTTTATTATAAAATCTAAAAATGTGTATCAAGATATATACTAAGCCATCGAAAGCCATTTAAACTATGTATCAACTATCAAGATATATACTAAGTCATCCAAAGCCATCTAAAATATTTATCAAGATATATACTAAGCTATCCAGCATCATCTAAAACATATATCAAGATATAAACTAAATCCTACAAAGCCTTCTCCTCTAAACCCTTACAAGATCCATCATCCAAACAGACCCAGAAAGAAATTCCCTCACAGTTAATAAACAGCAAAAGTGGCCTGGGTGCAATAAAAAGAAGTTTACACACCATGATCATAAATGCAGCTTTAAGTGCAGGACCAAAAGCTGATTCAACATTTACATTCTCTTCGAACATTGATGGCAAGCAATCGAGAAATGCATCTACTACAGCCCTAGATTCTGACAAGTTGACAAGAAGATCATCTGGCAATGGAACAAAAGTGTCTTCGAGATCTGACACAACCATCATCTGAGGTTGTGTCAAAGATGACTGGCAGAAAGAGGGGAAGACTGTTTAGATAGAGGAGCAATGAAAGTTTTGAAGCATGTCATACAATAGAATAATGTAAAACCAAAAAATACAAAGAAAGCAAGTTTTACTCCGTACAAAAAAAACACTTGCCTTCATATTGTAAAAATGTATGGTGGTGTCATAAGTTATGAACCCAATTTGTGTTCTTGGAAATCCAGGCAATCTATCCAAACAACTTTTGATGGTGTTTGCTATAACCTGTAACACATTCACAGTTCAAATGCATCATTCGATATTTGCTTTACAGTATCTATGCATTTTAGGTGCAAGAAGTGCACATAAGTGGCTAAGGGGCTGTTTACTTTTTTCTATGAAGTCCTGTCTAGATTAAGATGAATATGTGTCTGAATTAAGTGATATTTGCACATGAGGTTGTTCATTTTGTGTGCTAAATTAACATACTGGATTGAGTTAAATATTCAATTTAATATTATTATTGTGTTAACTTAGTCACATCACATGACATGAATCGATATATGAATATTATTATTGTGTTATATTGTCAATGAACAATGTTATTTATCAACAAACAAATATTCCATAATCGATTTAAAAAAATTGGTCGATGTCTTAATAGGCGTCTTACTGGGAAAGATTACTATATTACAACTAAATGATTAAGCCAGATTTTGACTGATTGAATAAGCCGTACTTTCAATTAAGTTGTGACTTGTGAGTAAACATGACTTGTGAGTCCACTATGACACAAGTAAACAGCCCCTAAGTGCTAAGTACTGTGTTTACATGTTGTAGCAACACTAGCACTCAAAGAAAAGTAACACCTAGAATTTTGAAATAAAATTCCTCACCTGAAGCATTCCGCTTTTTACAGCAGATATTGATACATCAATGAGGAAAAAATACAACGGTGGCATTGGAGGTCGGACCATATATTCAGCTGGGGCAATAAATTCCACACTACCTTTACTGAGCTCAGGCCGCTGATCAAAATCGACCCTTCTGCCTCTGGCATCTAAATGTGAAAAATAATCACCTGGAACTGCACACATAGTTTCAATTGATGAGCCACTGAGCCAGCACAAAATTAGAAGAGTACAAAAAAACAAATAACTGACTGCATCAGCAGTCCAATTAGCCAGAACCTTGCATGTCAGCATATACAACATAAACATTGCCTATTGTACAGAATAATCCAACTAACTCAAAGAGGAGAGAAAGGAGGCTGCTTCATATTTCCTACTATAAAATCATCAATATAATATATTGCAAATGCATAAAAGTTAGCTCAGGAAGCACTTTTATACAAATGTCGAAGAAGATAATATGGTAGGCCCCTGGTAGTATAAAAACTCCGGCAAGCAGCAAAGTTCTGGACACACACCCCGATTCTCGAGTCTCAAACAAGTAATGTTCACACTATTCCAAGCTCAATTTTGTGCTACTTTATCTGGAAACCCAGTTGACGTGCAGGTTTTATGGGCATAGGAGTTGTTGACCACTTTCAAAGGGAATGTCTTTTGCTGTTGACAACTCCTAAAAGGCAGAATCTCATGTTTATGGGCATAGGAGTTGTTGACCACTTTAAAAGGGGTTGATAGTGTTTCAGAAAATGAAGAGGTGGTCTGGAGAAAATTGTATTACCAAAATTTAACTAATCCCGGTCCATATTATACCCGAAAGTTACTAAAACCCATGAATTTACTTGGCAAATGTTGTTACGGAGATGTGGTGAGGCATTGGTTAAGTAAGTGCTTAAGGATAATAGGATATAGGGCATACTTTACTCGAGAACCTATGGACTAATATGCTAAAAACATTTAAAGATTGAAGATTTGCAATGCTAGTTACAGTGAAATTAGAGAATGGCAGTATTGTTTCTCTTATTTGAAAGTTAGCGGTTTATAAAAGATTAATGTGAGTGTTCAACATCTACTCATAGTTTTAGTTATGATGAGCTGTACTAAAGTTCTTTTCACATTAATAGCTCTAGAAGAATTGCATAACTAATTTTCTTGAAATTCATTCAAGCAATAATTCTGAGCAAAACATAAGGCTTAATGGTTTATATAAGCCTAGACTTCGTAGGTTGTCGTTTTGAGAGGGGCAAACTGGGGCTGTATTCAATTTCTTTGACCAAATTTTTGTCGCAATAGATTATCTTGGACAAAGGTTTTAATGAGGTAGTTTGCACATTGTGAATAACAATTCTACATGTATCTTTTTCTTGACTAGTTTTCCCAGAGTTTTTAGTAAGTTTCTTAATGAGACATGTACACAGCTGATTATCATATGAAAGGCTTGCAATACTATTGTCTTCAGAGGAGAAACAACATCTAAACAAATCTTAGGCCTGAGGGACAGCTAACTGTAATCTTTTCCTTCGTTAAATTTTTACATCTAAGACTTTTTTAGTTAAAGAACTTTTATGAGGTTAAGTGCAACACATAAGTACGTCTAAGATGTATAGTTGTAATCTTATCCTCAACTCGTTTAATACAGCTGTTCTCCTTTAACAGTCACATGGCCAGTATAGAGGAAAGAGTTATTATCAGAAGATGGTCACCTTATAATATCAAGAGAGCATTAATTTCCACTATTATCTTTCTTCACCCATAAACGTTACACTGTACTCAAAAAACACACATTGGGGTATTCTGGTACTATTAACTATTTTTACCTTGAATTTAGAAGCATTCATTACTTTTTTAAGATGTATCATGTATGTGGACACTTAAAACAACAGTTATAGAAAGAAAACGGGGGATTGTAATGAATTGTATAGTCAAGGAGAAAATTTTACCATCATTGTGCAATTGGCACATGTTGCACTTCCATTTTCTTCCGTTGTCTGTAAATGTCACATATGGGTTTACATAGGTGCGACACCTTCTACAACGTATAATACCAGTTGTGGCAAAATTGACCACTGGAACTTCTTCCTGGTTGAAGAACATTGTGCATCAAGTGTTATTAACATGCAAAGGTACTTTAAAGCTAACAAAATGATTTGCAAGCTAACAATAAATAAATATACAAACCCCATCAGGAGCCTCAGCAAGAGGGCAAACAACAGCTCCAAGAGACAAATACCATCTTGAAGCTAAAGACTGTGAAGTCGGGATGCCACTGGTTGTTAGCCGCAGATACCTAGAACTGCAGTTCATAGGGAACATTTCAGACAAGGGACTTTGATGCATATCATCTTCAACTTCAAGTGGCCTGGGTAAAAGTTTAGCATCAACTCCTGTGTCATAAGATCCTGGAACAGACCCAATAGAAAGTGAATTGAAGTCTTCTACCAATCCATGCATTTGAGGTATAGGAGGTCCAGCAGCAGGATGTGGAGTATATCCTCCTTGTTGGGAAGAAAATGGTGCGGATTGCCCAATCAGGTGTTGTGCAGCTGCAGTGGGTTGCTGACTAGGATATCCTGGAAAACCCGGTTGCAATGTGGGTCTAGAAATAGAATATGATGATAATGTCGGGGGTGCGGATTGCTGAAAGCTATTCATAGGGGCACTCGGCTGTAAAGTGCTCATGCTCTGTGAGGGACCCACATTGGGCGGAGGTGGTGATTGGAAAGATGGCTGACCAACAAATGAAGTATGAGAAGGAGGAGGAAACTGAGGAGTTGAAGAAAACTGTGGAGTTGGATAACGCTGGAAAGAGGTTGTAGCTGATGGGCCATACAATGCTGAAATTGGAGGTCGCTGTGATGGACTGCTAGGAACCCCTGGTGACATAGGTCTGAAGCCAGAAGATTTGGAGCCATCTACAGGGACAGGTGAGTATGGCGTGGGTGGGGGAGGCTGAATACTAGATGCTTGAAAAGGTATGGAACTCGGTGGAGCTGAAAAAGGTGTGGAAGCATGTCTTAATGGAAAATTGGGACGATCGGGGTTTTCAGTCCCCATGTATTCGAGATAATGTTCCTACATTTTTTCAGCCATAACCAAAAGAACTGTGTTAGTACACTAATAATATTCAAATTTAAAAACTTAAATAAGTAACAGCAGCAATCTATAAGGTTTAATCTTAATCTAGTTGTGCTCTAAAGCAGCCCAACAAAAATAATGTGTCTTAAAAGTGCTATGTTACTAACAGTTAGAGAAAAACAACAAGAAACAACAGCATCCAACCCTTAGTCCCAAAAGAGTTTGGGGTCGGCTAACATGAAACAACATAAAAATTAATTAGAACACTATCGCAACAGCTGCTTTGAACAAATACCGCATATTTGCAACAAGATACTATTAAATAACCCCCACCCCTCTTAATTACTTGAATGTATCTATAAATATATAAAATCAAAAGGAATTTGCTACAGTTTCTGCCAAAGTCTTTGCCGAATCTATAAACATATGAAAGAAAAAGAAATTTTCTAAAGTGTTCCCGCGTAAAGAGCTCGATTGGAATAAAATACACCTTATCAACTTATCGTAGAGAAAAAGTTCCACAAAGAATATGAATAGTAATGTAAAAAAGAACACTTTGTATGGTATCACACAGCTACTTCTTGAGCATGTGCTAGGCTATGATATTACATCACCCTAAATGCGAAGGCACAAACATACCATGAAATTCCCTATAAATAGTACTACGTAGCAAATTATTCCAAATGAGCACCACCGAAGAGCCCTTAGAATTAAAAATAAAACTATGAAATTTACCAATTGTGTGTGTACATCCTTTGTCATGGACAAGATACCTTTGAGATTTTCTTATAAGCCTCAAGGTTATTGATGTAAATTTGCTAAAAAAACATAGCAACTATTGTACTCTGTATTAGATTACCAATTTTGCTGATTTTGAATTCAACATCTAACTTTAGTTTAGGGAATTTATAAATACATATAAATTAATAAGAATTCACAAATAAGGCATGTACAACAGTACAAGTACAGTACCACATATATACATATGTGTGTGTGTGTGTCGATATCACATATACATAGATATAAACATCCGTATAATTGATGATGCATATCTGTGCGGGAAATAATTAAGGAACAAAATACCATGATAATTAAGGACAGTAACAAAAACCCTGAGTCTTCAAAAAATTACGACAGGGAAGCAAAGTGGATAGTCTTACCAAACAAACCAAGCACAAACACTTGAGAACAATTACTCTAAACGACGCACACACATATATCCACACTCTTATATGAATAATTTTAAAATCTTCAAGAAATAAATATAAAAGATGTTATATTTTTTCAGAACATAAATGGAGAGTGAAATCCTACAATAAGTCAAAATACACTCTGATTTTCATTGAAAACCTAAAAAAAATTAGTTCAGTGTACTATTATAATCATAAATAACAATGATCAAAAGCAAAAATATGCCAATTCGGATTTTTTTTAATCTGCTAAGTAATCAAATTAGTCTACACAAAAGATCCTGCAAATTTCAAGTTACATGTGATGAAAAACATCGGAAATCCCTCATCTTGTTTTTATTTTTATAATACATAAACAAGAAAAATACCTCTAAAGTTGCTTAAATCCTTTGAGGCAGCAAAAAAACTGTAAAACATCAGTTGAAGCTAAAATCAGTAATTATAAACGGAAAAAGGGGTGGACAAGAGATTATTGGTTACAAAATAAGTAAATAACATTTTACTTTACCTTCTCTGAGTTAGACCTTATCGGACGAATCTAACATCAAATGGCGGTGGGTATAGTGAGTGCAGATTTAAGCCGAGCAGATCTTATTTAGGTAGCTCTTCCGACAGCCATCTAATTGTCAATTAGAGGGGACGAGGAATCATTACAGAGGGGTGTCGTAGTTTTTCATGTGTCAAAAGCAGTTTAGGGAAATGAGATCAGAAAACTGAAAACAGTTTATACACAAGTACATTTTTAACTAGTTAGCTAGAAAACATAGGAAAAACAACAAAAATAAACTCAATTACACTATGTTTTACACGATGTACAAAAAAAATATTATTTTTTATACTTATTAATTAATATCATAGTAATTTTGGTGATTATAATGATTATTAGATTTACATTGTTATAGTGACTTTAGTAAAATAACTGTGATCACATTTTTGTCCATTTAACTCGGTATTTTAGTAAGGAGTAGTATTTTATAAAAAAACATCTATAAATACTCTAATACTCTTGCTCCCAACTCCTTTCTCCCCACATAGCCACACACCATCATTTGTCATCTACTTACTTATTAATAAAGCACACCCTTCTAATTGAAATTGAATTTTCAATTAATTGCTATTGAATTCAATTTGTGAATAGTCATTAATTGCAACTAAGTTCTAAATTCATAGTATTTACATCTACTTACTTAATAATTAAGTACAACCTTCTAATTGAAATTTAATTCACAATTACTTGCTATTGAGTCCAATTAGTGATTAGTCATTAATTGTAATTTAGTCCTAAGTTCATAATATTTACATACTCCATATATTATATATGATGCTTCAATTTCCAAATAAACTGCAAAGAAAATAATCATTCCGTTTAGAGAGAATACGTATAATTGAAGTATTTTGTAATATTGAATTTCATGTCATGTTTTTGAAAGCTTTATCGAGTTGGTTCTAGAAAACCACATATAATTTGGAAAACTTTCATTCGGTATTTTGAAATACTTTGTATATTTTGCTCCACAAAAAATCACATATTTTGAAGGTTTTTATATATTTCACATCTCATTCAATTTATATATTAATACTATATATACTTCAAACTCGTGCGATGCATGGATGACCAATAATATGCGAGTAACATTAGTTCAATTCTAATGTAGTTCGTATGACTCTTCTTCAACTACTTTTATTTCATATTCGTACATATTTACTTATATGCACAATATCTTTGTTTGCAAAACACGGTATAACTTTTTTATTCTACAAGATTAAATTTCTTTTAATGATAATAGTTCTTTTTATTTAAAAAACATATAAAAATATTTAGTTTAATTTCGAAAAAACGAGTGAATATAATATTTATTTAATAATAAGACTACAATTAATAGTTTTCCTTATAAAATGATTATTCAATAAAAACAATGTCTTTTGTTGAAAATATCTTATAAAAATGTTAGTGTATTCAAAACATAAGAGGTAATGATTAAAAACTAATTGATATATTTTTCTCATTTATTTTCAAAATTGACTTTTACATTTACTAATAAAATTTCCGTTCGACTCACTCTTAAAATAGGAGAAGCATTTAAAAATACGAGTTATGATTTTCAAATTAAAGAATTGAAATAATGCTGATAAAGTATGATATAATAAGTAAATTGTGGTTACATACACATTGTGTAGTTCTCCTAAATAAATATAGACCATATTTATCTATGTATTATATTCTCCATGAAACAATGGGAATAGTATGTTAAATTAAATGTGCATGTATCTAGGATAAGAAAAAATAATGAATTGATTTCATATTTTTGCATTTTCCAAATTCATTTCATTATATATAGATTATCGAGTTAAGGAATTGAAACAGTATTAATCAAATATATACTATAATAAGTTAATTATGAGTACATACACATTTCGAGATTCTCGAATTAAGTATAATTTTTTTATTGTTTTATTCTCCATAATCTTATAAAAATGGTGCTTTCTACTGAATGTGCATGCATTAGCAATGCCAAAAATAATTAAACTGAATTATTTTTAAAATTGTTTATTGGAATTTGTTATCTAACCAATATGTTTGCATTGTGAAATAATTTCTTCATCTCGCTCTTAATTATATTTGTCAAGCGAAAACGTTTAACACGTCTGTTCATATGTACAAGGGGTCCATATATACATGTTCAAAAGTTATGGTAAATATAAATGTACTACCGAACTAAAATCCTTAAGAAATTGTAACATATATTTTCTATATTTGCACCATGTATGACTATCTTTAGTACTACCTCCGTAACAGATATATCTTCTCATTTGAAAAGTAGGTGAGATTAAGAATAGTGAAAGGATATATAAATTATTGAGGGTATGATGGGAAGATAATGAAATGGTGTGCTGGAATGAAGGATAAATCCAAAGCAAGTAGTTGTAATAGTGTATTATTTTTAAAATTATTGAGGTTATGATAGGAACATTTAGAAATGGAAAGATATGAATGTTACAGCTACAAAGGGAAAGTGGGAAGATATGAGTGTTACGGAGGGAGTATATAACAAAACAAATATTAGATAATATATTTTCAAATATATTCTACAATAATTAAAAGAGAGATTTACCTAAATAGGACTAAAACTAGGTAGAATTTTAAAAACAGGACTGCTATGTTTTATTTGACAAAAATAGGACTAAAAAGAAGTAATCTACCAAAACTACCCTTAATTAAAGCCTAATGCTCTGTCGAGCAACTATTGCGATGCACACTAGCGATGCACAACGGCCTCCATCGTTGTTGGTGCTTCTAGCGGTGCTGCCACAGAACATTACCGTCGTCCAATCAGACCACAACCTCCGTCTGCCACCCTCCGGCGAGACATCAACCACCATCAATCATTAGTGTAGGACCTCCTCCTGCCACTAGTAAAAATTTGTTAAATTGCGTCACGTCATTTGAGGCGCTTAAAAAACAAGCGCCTTTAAAATATACGACGTGCGGCGCTTTTCTCTCTAAGCGCCTCTAATATGTATTTAATTTTTTAATTATTTAATGTTTCGGGTCTTTGCGGCGCTTATTTATAAAAGCGCCGCAGACCGACGCCAAATTTTTATTCAAAAATAAACTAATTTTTTTAAAAATCGGATTTTTAAAAGATGCGTGCGGCGCCTATATGCAAAAAGCGCCGCATACATGTTCCGATTTCCTAAGCGGCGCTTATATTTAAAAAGCGCCGCAGAAAATAAACTAATTTTTTAAAAAATTCGGATTTTTAAAAGGGGCGTGCGGCGCCTTTTTAAAAAAGGGCCGCAGAAAATAAACTAATTTTTAAAAAATTCGGATTTTTAAAAGGGGCGTGCGGCGCCTTTTTAAAAAAGCGCCGCAGAAAATAAACTATTTTTTAAAAAAAATCGGATTTTTAAAAGGCGCGTGCGGCGCCTTTTTAAAAAAGCGCCGCATAAACTGGAACAGTTTATGCGGCCATAGCCGGCCGTTCGCAGCAGAGATCGAAGTCGATTCAGTTGGGCAGCAGAGAACCCTAAGGCCGGCCGCGCCGTCGTCGCACCTAGTCCGTGACCCCAGCCGTCGCACCTTCGCCGCTCCTCTGCTCAACCTCTGCCGCTCCTCCGCTCACCTTCGTTGCCGTCGAATCCGTCGAGGGTCGTCCGTCTGCCGCTCACCTTCGCGCCGTTGTCGTCGAAGCGGTCGAGGGTCGACCACCGCTCACTCCAGCCGCGCACACCCTCGTGACCCAGCCGTCGCACCTCCGCCGCTCCTCCGCTCAACCTCCGCTGCTCCTCCGCTCAACCTCCGCCGCTCCTCCGCTCAACCTCCGCCGCTCCTCCGGTCCGCTTACTCCAACCTCCGCAGGTATGTATATTTTTTTAATAATAAATGTTTTCAATATTTTTTATTTTAATTAATTTTGAGTAATATAATTTTGGAATAGTTGTAATGAGCATCAAAATACTTCCAATCAGTTGTTTTATATTAGCATAACCCTCAATTGCAATCTTACATAAAAAGTGTGCTTAAAAAGAAAAAAAGTATGCAATAATTTATTATTATTTTTTTATTTTTAGATAAAGTTTAGTGTTGTTAATCATGGATCGTAGCTGGATGTATGGTTTGAGAAATACTTCTCAATTTTTCAATGGTGTTCATGAGTTTGTAAAAGTGGCTGTTGCGCATCAGAAGCAACAAGGACAAAAAGGAATTTTATGTCCTTGTTCAATGTGCCGTAACATTAAAAGAGAGAATGACGTGAACATAGTTCTTCAGCATTTATTTGAGAAGGGTTTTAGAGAAAACTATATGACATGGACATTCCATGGAGAGAATCGTGTGGATGTCGAAGATCTTTTTTCTAGAGCAACTTCTAGTCATCTAAAGCGTAAAGCTACTCATATTACTACTACTTCAAATGATATTGATGATGGTGTTGCGGATGATGATGCCAATGAAGATAGAATTGATGAACTCTTGAATGATGTTCATGATAATTTTGATTATCAACCAAAATCTTATGAGAATTTGATTGAGGCCGCCAATATACCGCTATTCACGGGTTCTGAATTCTCCAAACTATCTGTTGTTCTCAAATTATTTCACTTGAAAGCTAAACATGGGTGGAGTAATGTTAGTTTCACTGAGTTGCTGATATTGCTTCAAGAAATGCTTCCAGAAGGAAATACACTTCCCGATATGAGCTATAAGGCTAGAAAGTTATTATGTCCAATGAGAACAGAATGGGAGAATATTCATGCATGCCCAGCCGATTGCATACTGTACCGCAATGAATATGAAAACCTAAATGAATGTCCAAAGTGTCACGCTTCACGTTATAAGAAGAAGAAGGGTATTAATGTTGGGTTTGATGCTGAATACACCAAAACACCTGCCAAAGTGTTGTGGTATCTTCCTATCATTCCTAGATTTAAAAGATTATTCATGAATGAGAAAGATGCAAAAAACTTAGTGTGGCATGCTCAAGGCAGGAAAAAAGATGAGTACTTGCGACATGTATCTGATGCACCACAGTGGAGGCAAATTGATTTGAAATATCCTGATTTTGGCAAAGAAGACAGGAATTTGAGACTTGGATTATGCACTGATGGTATGAATCCATATGGCACATTGAGTAGTCAACATAGTACTTGGCCAGTTTTATTGGTTATTTATAATTTGCCTTCATGGTTGTGCATGAAGAGGAAGTACATAATGTTGTCTCTGCTTATCTCGGGACCACAACAA